AATTTGACTCCATAAATAAAGCTTTCTTTTTCAGAATAATGCTTTTATACAATTTCTTTATCCTAGTTGCACATTACATATTTGAAAAGCATAAATCTACTTGTTATTTTTTATATTTTTTCAAAAGTTCTACATTTCATAATTTAATTCAACATTGATCAGGTTGAAACAGTCTATGGAGTAACATCTATCATGAAGATGTTTTGTAATTTAGTGTGGATTTGGTTATACAAACTTCCCTTTAAGCAATAAATTCATTAAATTTCAAAACCTACCTGTTTTAAGACAGGGGTAATAAGTAATGCAGGGCCCCATAAGAACTGAGTGTCCTCAATCCAGCTATTAACATCTGCATAAAACCTAGAAATGACAATGTTCACAGTATAAAGATGAAAAAAAAATAAGCTTATCTAAATTCCTTGTGTATCTTTTCAGTTTTTCCCTGGGAATGATTACCAGCTTTAATTTTACTTGTTTGATATGTCATTTTGAATCTACATTTCTTACATTTTTATGGTTCACCTCACACTGGAAAAGGAAGAAAGGATGGAAGAAAGGGAGAAAAATAAGAAAGAAGGGGTAGTTAAATAGTTCAGCTGAGACCCCCCCAAAAAAAATCTATCATATAGGATAAGGTTACTTTTTATCTGTAATAAACAACTATTCTGTTTAATTCACTTTCTCCTGTTAGAAGGGTTCATAAAGATATATGAATACCTTTCATATTCCACTTTCTTCCCTTTAAACCCTTTTGGTTATAAACTCCCATTTTGACTTGGTTTTGAAAGGGTTATTAGACATTTCTTGAAGAAAGTTTCTGCTTTTGTCAAGATATACAAAAACAAGCACAATTCATTGTGTTGTCCCTATACCATACTCTCGGTCTATATTTAGATGATTTTCACAATATGTACACAATGTGTTTTCAATAATTCTATATTTAATCTGCTTACCAAAATAATTTCCCTAACATATTGTCTATACCCTTTTTTTTACCTTTTAAGTTCTACTCAAGTCTCACATTGGTAGCTTAATATCATCTAAATCACCAAATTAATTATATTTATTACTGTCATTCTACAGTTCATCAAATCATTTATATGAGTGTAAAAACAAGGAGCAGAAATCTACTTAACATCTTGATTGATCTCCATTATTTTTTTAATATATGTACAAGTATAATCTGAAAGTTTTAAAATTCTTGAACGTAGTACTCACTCATGAAGAAATGGCCTTGCTACTGTTTCTCCAAACATATGGGCTTTATAAAACAGAGTATAGAGGTAAGGTAATAAAGTATAGCGGATATTCAAATAGTGCCTTGATGAATTAACCAAAAGAGAATTCTGCCCAAAAAACGCTGGATCTTGATGCTATGAGATAAAAGATAAATTGAAATAAGAAAGCTAAAATATGAGTGAAAATGAAAACAGAAACATTTAACCTATTTTTGAAAAGCAGATTGTATACAATTTAGCTTGTTTATAAAGATTTGAACTTACTCCTATTTTACCATCAAAGCATAGTACCATTTCTCGTTTTTACGATTTTTTATTTGGGTATATGTTTTAATTAAACTTCATTTTAAAGTGGGTATTGATCTTTTAAATATATATATTTAGAGAAGATAAAAATATTTTAACAAAGAATTTTTTCACTAATATTATTTGTAGTAGATTGAACTGTTGGCTCAAATTCCCATGGTTACTTGTATCCACACTTTTGTTAAGTAACTCTGCAGCCCCTACCCACTCAAGGTGGAGGATACTTCCACACTGCTTAGCTTTGTACTCAGCTAAGTGATATACTCTGGCCACTGGAGTCCTGGTACATGTGACACATTCAAGTAAGGGCTTAGAATGTGCTTGCCTGAGGACTTGCTGCCTTGGACCCCTCCACTGCCATTAGAAGAATAAGTCCAGGGAGTCTGCTAGCCAAA